AAAACTAAAGGAGTACATTGCGTGCTAGTAGAATTAGATAATAAAAAACGATGATATCTAGTTGTAGTACAAGAATTTCTTTAAGAAAAACGAGAAAAAAATATGTAGATGTGGTTGGTGTTGAGTAATGAGTTGAATAACTTGTTGATGTGCATGTCTGTGTCGCCAATGCCACTGGTTGGAAGAAGGTGCCACTGAAACTAAAGCATGAGAGTTATTGGGAATGCAATATAAATCTTCACTGCAAGAACCCTAAAGAAGCTGCTGAGTCATGCTTTCCTTGATTTGATAGCCATTTGCATAAGAAATGATCATGTAGTTATTATTGAGTGCTAACTGAGTGGTAGAGATCAAATTATGGGAGATATGAGGAGGCATGGAGTTGCTTGGAAAGAGAGAGCTTAAGTTTTGGAGTCAGTAAAACGCGAGTGTTTGAATGTTTGATTAAGATGGTACGACCATTACCAACCATAACTGTCTCATTCTCATGGTAAGGCTCGGGTTGATTAACCTGACTCTAATTGCAAGTGAGGTGGGAGGTCACCCTGTTATCAAGGTAGTGCCAATCAGACTGATTGGATGGTGAAGAGGAAGTAATATAGGCGGCATGAGCATTGGTTGGTGGAGGATGAGAGAAAGTCTTGAGTTGATAGTTAATATTCAAGAGGTGCCAACAATGGGATGTGAGGTGTCCGGATTTATTACATATCTGACACGAAACCAGGCTATGAGGTTTAGATGGAGGAGGTGAAACATCAACTAGTTTTCTCGATGGAGGATTATTGTTTACAATAATATAAAATATTATCTTAATTAATACTTGTTATTGTCATCAGTTTCATTTACTTTCTTGTACATTTACATGCATATCATTAGATCTAATGTGTTTACATATCTGACACCTAAACATGACTTTTTACATTTATATCACCTAAATTCTTCATATCACATAAAAAATACATCTTTTGATGACTTTTTACATTTATATCACATAAAAAATACATCTTTTCATGCATAGCTTCAACTTGTAAAAAAGAATTACATTTTTTCATGCACAGGGAAGGTATCATGCATGCATGTAAAAATTAAATTTTAGGTGGTAGATATGTAAATGCAAAAGAATTGAGTGAGATGTTCGACAGGCAAATAGAGAAGAGTTGAGTGAATGTAAATGCAAAAGAATTGAGTGAGATGTTCGACATGCAAATAGAGAAGAGTTGAGTGATATGTATGTAAATCTTTCATATTAGATTTTACTGCTGTAATTAAGATGAATTTATGTTTATTAGTTTCTTAATATTAAGTTTACATCAAAATACTTAGCATTTAATATACTAATTTCAAGATTCAAAGTTTTTGGTATTTGATTTTTCTCACATGTATATGATAGACAACTTATAAAATTCTGGCATTTCATTTATATAAAATAAATAGTTTTCTAGTTATAAAGATATAAATATTATAGAAAAATTGCACAATTCAACCATGGTAAGAAACTGACTGATTATTTTTTAATTATCTCAATCTTAGTAGCAATTTAACACTAATTCTATTTTTATCTATTCTACTATGGTTCCTTGTAATATTTACTTTTCGCTTTAACAAGTGTTAAATTCTTAAGGTACTTTTTTGTTTTCTACAAAGCCCAAAAAATAGGCAAGAGGTCTCCACTACACCCCACCTACAACTCGTGCAAAAAAATAAAACCTTTAACTCACCCCTCCAACAAACCCGAAAAACAAAAGACAAACTAAACTAAAACTATGCTGCCAGCAAATACAAATATCTAGGTAAACATTTCGAAATACATACAGAATTCAATTTGGATCCCAACCAAGAAGCCCAATCAGTAGCTTTATTACCATCTCTTTTAATGTAAGACTAAATAACAACATATACTCAGATAAGTCAAAAATTCTTCTCATCCGCAATTGAATGCTCAAATGTGTAGCCATCTTTTTCTTGCAGCAATTCTACAAAATTAAAGATTCCAGTTCTAAATGCACAAATTTCCAACCAAAATGCTTCTCCAATAACAAAACAAAAACCATCGCATCTGCCTCGACATATAAAGGAGAAACCACTATAGAAGAAGCCGCAAACCAACAATCTACAGCACCAAAACAATCCCTGCAAACACCACCAAGTCTATCCAAATCAAAATTCCTACTACCATCAACATTTATTTTAATAAAAAGGAATAATAGGCTTACACCACTTCACCAACTTAACCACATTACTTGATAAAACAAGAGCTGATAAACAGAATTTCACAAAAATATCAAATAACCTTTACCCAACAACTTATTATAATTATGAAGCTTTAAACTTTTATAGCAGAAGTTAACTATCATTAAAAAAGAAGTCAATATACTAGGAACCAAATTTGCATGCTTCACATTATTATTGGATAGCCAAATAAACCAAACAACAATAATAGGAATATTAGATAAGAAACATGTTCCTGCCTCTTCCAATTTTCAAGGACCTTCTAAAATGAATCAAAAAAGAAATCATTATCATTCCTACCAAAGATACGATAAACCTATTTCCAAACCTTCTCAGTGAAATTGCATTTCAAAAAAATATGATCTATTGATTTCTCATGCATCCTACAAAGTAAACAACATGAAGAAATCCTCAAACTTTTAAGTTTAAGAATAACATCAGTAGGTATAATAGAATGATAGATTCTCCAAACAAAAATGGACTGAGAAGGCTTGACCCATTGATTCCAAGCCCAACTAAAATCAGTACCTTGAAAAATTCTGAAAAGAGGCTACAAAAAATTTTGAAATAGAATCACCCAATTTACATTTTACTCTAGGCACATCATCCATCTCCTTATTAATAGGAATGTTTGCAATAAAATTAGCATTGACATTATGAGCAAACTACAACAAACTATCCATATTCCACATCTCCTCATGCCAAAAATCATCAACAGAAACATTCACCTCCTGAGGACCTCCATAAAAATTAGCTAAAGCACAAATACCCAACAAATCATCATATCAAAAAGTGCATTTACCTTAACCAATATCCCAGCAAATGTAATCCTCACTGTTTTTGGCAACTTTCAACATTTCCCTCCAAGTAATAGAATCATACTTGGAAGCATAAACTGAAAAAGGGTGAGCATTATTGCAATATTTAGCCTTCAATTGAGTAGCCCAAATAAAATTTCCCATACGAAATTTATACAAAAGTTTCATAAAATTAACCTTCAAAGTGTCTTGAATGCTTCTAAAACCCATATATTCTTTATCCATAGGTTTACATAACTTTTCCCATATTTTCCAATGATTGCCATCCCAAAGGAATTTTTAAACAACAATTCCAATCTCTTATAAATGCCAGTAGGAATTTTCATAATTTACTTTGAATAGAGAGGTGGAGAAGTAAGAATACTTTTTAGTAAAGTAACTCTACTACCAAAGGAAAGAAACTTATTTTCCCAGGATAAAATTCTATTTTTAACCATATTGATTAGACCCAAGAGTAGATGATTCCTTTTAGTGCCCTTCTCAAGACCCTAAATATACCAAAGGAAGATCCCCTTCAGTACATTTAGTGAAATTCATAATCCAGTTCTTCTTAATTGAAGAAATATGTTTGAAACAATATAAGAAACATTTAGTTGTATTAAACATCAGACCAGAAGTTTCCTAAAAGTGCAGAATCACCTTCTAAATAAACTTAATAGATCTTTTACTAGCATTAGTAAAGATAATCAAATCATCAGTATAGCTAAGATGATAAATACCATTCATATCTCCATGTAAATAATTCATACTTGAATGCCTAATAAACATAACATTTAAGCTTCTAGAAATGTAATTAAAAGCCATGTCAAACAAAATAGGAGATAATGGATCACCCTGTTTCATGCCTCTGGATGTCTAAAAAAAGCCATAATTATCTCCATTAATCAAATTATTCTCTAAAATTTTGTTAATGACTACAGAATTCCTCATTGAAACCAATAGCATGTAACACATCAGTAAAGAAATCCCATCTTATAGTGTCATAAGCCTTTTTTATGTCCATTTTGAAAATCACATTATCTCCTCTACCCTTTTTATCAAGATCATATAAAAGGTCTTGCGTAGTCAGAGCATTATTGCAAATGTTTCTGTCTTTCACAGAGGCAGATTGGTTAGAACTGATGATATTATGTAAGAATGGTTGTAATCCGTTTACCAAGATTTTAGAAACATTTTGGAGATCAATACATGTTCAAATCTCATCACACGATCAAAATAAAATTATTTATTTGTTATTCATATTTATCATTCATGTATGCATCTTTGTTTACTCATAAGAAATTGTTCAAATTGTTTTATTTTTAAATTTAATCAAAAGTATATTTATATGACAAATAATTAAAATAAAAAAAATGTATATTTAAAACTCAAAGTATTAAATTATAATTAAGAAAAATAAGAATATTTTAAATTAATATTTTTTAAAAAAATTAGATTTTTAATTTTAAATAATTAAATTATTTTTAAATAAGAATATTTTTTAATAAATATCTTAAAAAGATATTTATTATTGGTGAATTATCATTGTCCCGTATGAAACGTACAATTATGCAAACAGGCAATGTAAACGGGAAAAAAATGGAATACAAATAGATGGCATAGATATAACTAATTATTATGTGGCATTTACATACATACCAGATAATATTTATGTATTTACATATCTAACACCTATACATACCATATAATAAATATTTATGTATTTACATATCTAACACCTAAACATTCATATTCACATACATACTATTCAAATATTTAACATCATATCAAAAATTTTATCATCACTATGTTTATGAAACTGAAATAAATCTTTTTAAGTATTATAAGTGTAATTATCAAATTATTTGTGCTACGTATATAAATACATAAAACTTGCATGGCATGTATGTAAATTTCTTTATTATTTATGATAATTTATTTTTAGAAATTTTGGAAAATGCCACCGGCGTGCAATTTAAGCCTGACACTTCACCCTGCTCTGCGTGGTGCAGGCTTGAGCAATCTGAGACCACTAATCTTCCTTCTTCGAAATTCTATTTTCTACAGCTAGGGTTTTAATTCCAGAGTTCTTGCTCTTCTTTCCTTCTATAGCCGATTCTGCAGAAGCTCAGTGCTTCAGCCTCAATCCATGGAAGCAGCCGCCTGCTATCAATCCCTTCACTTCTCCAAAGCGACCGATTTTGTCCCTCGGCCTTGCTTTCTCGCAGCCCGGTCCTCTTTCGATTCCAAATCTCTTTGTTCCGATGGATTTGTGAAGGTAGGTTTTTCGATTCATACTTAATTAGTTGGAATTGAGATTTGATGTTCATTTTTTTTTCCCCGTGGATTTTGCAGCGTTTCTGTTTGATATCGCAAAACAAGCAAAGGGAGAGGATTACGATTCTAACGAACGGGAAATTGAGAAGAGAGGTCAGAGCATCGTCAAATTCTTCTTCTCGACCTTTGGAATCTTCCTCTGAGCTCGCTCCCTTGCAATTGGAGTCCCCAGTGGGGCAGTTTCTATCACAGATCCTCGTCAGCCATCCCCACCTTGTACCAGCTGCTGTTGATCAGCAGCTCGAACAGCTGCTTACAGAACTCGAGGCTGAGAAGAGCCAGGAGGAATCCAACTCTAGTGGCACCGAGCTTATCTTGTATAGGTAAAAATTCAATTCCTATTCATGGTTTTGCTTCTACTTGCTGAGTTTATTTGCATGAAATTAAGATTATAAAGATTCAACTAAATTGTTAGGAGGATCGCTGAGGTGAAGGCGAAGGAGAGGAAGAACGCCTTGGGGGAAATTCTATATGCTTTGGTTGTACAGAAATTTGTTGATTCAGATGTTTCCTTTGGTTGTACATTAGATGTTTCCTTGGTTGTACAGAAAAGGTTGTACAGAAATTTGTTGATTCAGATGTTTCCTTGGTTTCATCAATGCCCAAATCATCAAAGGAGCCCAATGAGGTTGCTCACTGGCCGTCATTGGAAGAGAAGTTCCAGTCTCTGCATTCTCCTGAGGCCTTTGAGATGGTAAAAAATCACTTATCTGTCATACTGGGAAATCGATTGGAAGATTCGAGCTCCATTGCCTCCATTAACAAGCTCCGAGTTGGGCAAGTTTATGCAGCCTCGATACTCTATGGCTACTTCCTCAAAAGAATGGACCAGCGCTTTCAGCTCGATAAGTCCATGAAAACTCTTCCTTTTGGATCAGAAGAAGAGAGAGAATCAGCCAAGGGATGCGCCAAGGAAGCGTTAATGGGGGCCGAATCGGTTTCAAGCCCTGAGGAGCTCTCAGCAACTTTCAGTCCTGGTGGATTCGCTGATAGGATTAAGCCTTGCCGGCTGAGGACTTACGTTATGTCTCTGGATTCTGAGACCCTGCAGAGGTTTGCTTCTGTGAGATCAAAGGAAGCTTTTAGTATCTTTGAGAAGCATACGGAGGCTTTATTTGAGAGGCCAGAGATTGTAATCACGCCTCAGGGTGCTATTGATTATTCGAAAGAAGAGCTAATTAAGCTCAGTTTTTCTGGATTGAAGAGGCTGATATTGGAGGCTGTAACGTTTGGTTCCTTCTTATGGGATGTGGAGAGCTATGTGGATTCAAGGTATCATTTTGTAATCTCTTAAGTTTTCTTGTATTGTGATTGAAAATATATGTAGGTGGCATGAGGGAGCTTATCAATTTCATTGGAGACATATGCTTTGTGTGGTTTTTGGAATTGTTAGATCTTTGCAGTAATGCATGCATTAATCGGAAATGTTGTTTATGATTGTTTCCCTTTTCTGCATCCATGTAAATTTTTAAAATTCCTTTGATATATATTTAATAAAGTAGAAACGGTCTCCCATAAGGTGGTATAATCATCAATGGGTCATTGGATGTAAAAATTTTGAGAAGAATAGAAGGAAATTAAAAGAATGTGAGCAATTTAATTTGATTGGAGTTTAAAATGAGATGAAAAGAACTTAAAAGGAGAGTTGAGGTAAAAGTTTAGCTATGAGGATGAGATCTTGTTTCACTCACAAAATTAATAGTAATTCCACAAAGAAATTCACATAAACTTTTAAACAATTCCCAAGCTACCCTTGCTCTAATCAAAGAATAAAAAGTTAGTCCTTCCCAATCCTTTCCTATTCATTTTAGAACTTTCAATCAAAGAGAAATGAGTCTACACACACACACACAAACATATATATATATATATATATATATATAATCTATTTAATCTCAATAAAATTGTTCAATAACCTTAACTAGGGCGGTCAAAACAGTTCGTTGTTCGCAAACAGCTCGTGTTGTACCATTAAGAAGCTTGTGTTTGGCTCGTTCGGTAATTTAACAAGCCGAACACAAACAAAGATTTGTTCATTTGTGTTCGGCTCGTTTTGGCTCGAAATACTACTCATCAATTATATATATATTTATTGATGAGTAGTATTTTTAAAAAATTTAATTGACTACAAGGCTTCAAAGATTTATAATTAATTAAAAGTATTAATTAAGAAAATTGAATAAAAATTATTAAATTATATTCAAATGATGTTTTAATATAAACAATAATTTTTAAATCTTGCCCCAATCCTTAACATCTTATAGCTACGTGATTATGGTTGTCAAAACGACTCCTTTTTCGTGAACAGTTCATGTTCGGCTCATTATGCAAACAAGCCGAACACGAACTGAGCCTGGGATCGCTCGTGTTTGGCTCGTGTACACCCCTACCCTTAACCCTTAATATGAGCCCATTTGATTTATGATATTTCTATTATCTTTAATTTGGATTTTTTTTAATGTGTCTTACAGCATTTAATAATGGTGGCTACTGAATAAGAGCATATATCTCAAATGATCCTCTCATGTATTGTTGTGAGCACTATTGATATTTTAGGGCAAATGCATTTTTTTTTCTCTTTTGGTGATATATTGAGATATGATTCCCAAATTCCCAGCGTTCATCTATTCCTTTTCTTCTCATATTGGTTGTGGCTCAAATGTTTGTTGGAGTGAGTGTGTGTGTGTGTGAGAGAGAGAGAGAGAGAAAATCTTTTATCAAACAAGGTTTCCCCGACAAATGGATGACATGCTATTTTAGTTTGAATGACTTTACGAAATAGTTTATAAGCTAATATATTTATCTTGCAAGAGAAAGAAGTCTGTTAAGGTTTTAGTTATTTTCTTGTTAAATAAAAAAACTTAGTTATGACCTAGATCATTCATTTCAGACAGATGAAAGTCTAAAATAAGCACCATCATTTGTGAATTTAAGTTGTAATTATTTTATTATACTTATTTTGTTTTGTAATAAATTTGAAATTTTCTTTAATATTATGATGTGATTAGAAATCTTGACAGAATGGACTTTCAGATTAAATTATATCACTTTATATATATATATATATATATATATATTATTTATTTATTTATTTATTTATAATAATCACTTTATTGTCATGGATTTAATTAAAGTATATTATTTGATTCTTTTATTTTGTCCTCTAAACCAATAAATCATGTCTATATTTTTTAATCTTTTTTTATTGATAATTATTGTTGACTTCTCTCTTGCTTCGCGATTTTTTTTCTTTCAAGAAATTTTTTGTCCTGACCATAACCTATTGTACATTCCATCGCTTCTCTTGACCATAAATAGTAGTGTCATCATCACCTCCCTCATCAAACCAAGGCTCTTTTTATTCCTTTCTCTCAAATTCATTTTCGCCACAATTATCTTATAAATTAAAGCATATTTTAGAGGAGGAAAGCTTGGATCGGATTTTTATTTTGCAATGACAAAATAGCATCTATTCGACCAAAATTCTAGCAACAAAAAGCCTCAAAAGACATGCTGTGACATCATTTAATTACAAGGGTTTGCCAAGGATGAAAGCCAGAGTATAATGTGAATGTGTTATAATAGTATAATTAAAGATGAAATGCAACTTATATGAGGGTGATGGATGATTTCATAGAGGTATCAAATGATGCATTTTGAGAAGAGTAGTTTGAATCTATGTATGAAGATATTCTTTTAATGATGTAATGAAGATTAATAAGCCCAACTGAATAGTCACCAAATGAAGGTCTGATAGAAATTTATTAATGAATCATTGAAAATTGATGATAACAAGCAAAGCAAGCAGACAAACCAACTCGGATAACTCTGCATCTGAGAAGATACTGATTTGTTATGAAACGATAAATTTTGTTTATGATTTAGTGGAGAGTCTTCAAGTGAAGAGGAAAGTTGACTTGAGTTTTGAGATGGTGCAACATCATTTCTTAGAAGGACCAGTGTTATTTGGAGGTAAGATCCTGCTATTAAGTGCGCTACCCACTTCAATGATGTGCAAGAGTAACTCAAATATTATTAGAGGTGTAAATTAGTTGAGTTTGAGCAAGCTAAGTGTAATTCATATTCAGCTTGTTTGACATTTGATATGATATTATTTGGTTTGTGCTTAAAATTATCCATGAGTAGTATATTTATGTTTTACTCGTTAAAATTTAAACTAAACATTAGCCAAACAACTTGAATAAAGGCTTCTTAATAAATTAAGTACAAGTTATTCATGAATGAAGAGCTTTTCTAAGAGCCATAATTACTAGAGCAATAATGTATAATTATTCAAACACTCGTTGTAGTTTGAGCGGTCTATTAATACATGGCTTGTCTTCTTTGGTAATTGAAATTCCTTTTTAACCAAATCTCGTGATTTTAATTTCTCAAAATTTATAATATTTTATCCATTCAAAATCCTAATATTATAGCAAAATTTCATGCTTATTTGCTTGTATGGATATTTATTGTGAATTCAAGATAGATGGTTGAAGTGGAGGAAATCATTAGACCTATTGTGTGATAGAAAGCACTCCTTAGACATGAAAGAAAGTTTTGTAAGATGTTGGTGCGATCCTTCACTGTTTTATGGCACAAAATGTTGACCTATAAAAGAGAAGCATAAAACCAAGTTTAGTGTTGCTGTGATGAGATTGCTTAGGTGGATGAGTGGTTTTACACTTAAAGACAAAATGTGAAACGAATATACTCTTGAAATGGTTGGTGTAGCTCCAGTCACAGAAAAGATTAGAGAGAGTTGTCTTTAGATAATTTGGTCACATTAAACCTCGACCATCTGATGATCCTGTTAGGAGTGTAGATATTTTAGGTTCGATTTGTATTAAGAAAAGTTGAAGTATAATAAAAAAGACTTGGGCATTTTGTATAAAAGAATGATTATAATTTATTAGAAATAAATGGAAATATGACACTCAATAGGATGGAGCAGACTCATATAGTGGAATAAAGGCTTGTTGTTGTTGTATCATAATTTGACAACAACAAAGTTAGCTCACATGAATTTCTTGAAAGTCATTAGCTCCTTACTTTCAACTTCTGTTAATTCTTGGTGATTATAAACTAATTTGTTTTCACATTATAGTGCTCCTTTGACTGGATGTATTTTCCCTAAAATACTTTTGGTTTTTGCTGACATATGTTCACATTATTAGAAGAGCTCATAGAATGTAATATTAGCCTTTATTTTTTTTATAAGAGCTCATAGGCCTCTCATTATTCATCACCTTAATTGATACCTTAAGGTTAAGCATTTATTTATTTATTTATTTACTTACTGTCCACATTTAGACTTTAATTAATCAAATTTTTTTTTATTTAGATGAAAAATAAAAGACTATTTTCATCGTCTGCTAGTAATCGTTCGTATTTTCATCTTAAATTTGAAGCCTTCAAGTGCAAAAATTTAATTATTTTACATACATTTTAACGATGTGAGATTAAATTCAATAAGATTACATTTTGTTATAATATTATTTTCAAAATGAGCTCTTTATATTAATTTACTGCTCATTTTTAAAAAAAATCACATGATATTGTAAATGGAGTCAGCCTATGTTGAGTCTACTCATGGGGAGAATATTATGTGTGATCATTCGTACGTGCATGTTAATGGTGTATACCATAGTACAATCCAAAAAAACCTATCTGCACTCAAGGATCATTTGCATGTAATACTCATAGAAGTCCTAAAAAAACTATTAGCCTGAAAACACGTAAATAATTTAATATTAATCAAATTATATGCTCTAATATTAGTTGTTAGGGAATGATAAGGAAGGAACAAAAGTGAGTTGCACACCAATATATATATAAAAGGAATTGCCTTGGGCTATTACGAGTCTCAGTCATCCCCAATTCGCCTAATAATTCGAGTACCATACCCTCCACCGAGAGGAATCGAACCCCAGACCATAGGGGACTTACAATTGACAAGTAGATGTCCGACCCACTGATCAAAGTAAGCAGTGCACACCAATAATCATATATATATATATATAGTAAAACTTTAAGTTCAAAGTGTAGCTCTTACCTTGGTGAAAATAAAAAATTTTAAGTTCAAACTGTAGCTCTTACCTAGAGAAGATGAAATCCAAACTTTGTTTGCCTGCCTTAAAATTGCCTGTTTGCCTTAAAATTGCCTCTAATCTGAGCAATAGCAAGCCCTAGGTGCAAAAAACGGAGGTTGAAGGTGACTCAAAGGTGTTTAGGTCGGCTTGGGTTGAGGGAGTTGTTGGCGCCCATGCCGGCTCCAGTGGCTAAAAAACTCATATTTTGATTTTTTTTTTTTATTTTAATTTTCTCTCAATTTACTCCAAAGTTTATTTAATCTTTTTAAACACTAATTTTTATCTTAAAATAATTCACAAACAAATATTTTCTAAAATAATTCACAAACAAAATTCACAAACAAATATTTTCACAAAAAAACACCAAACTAACTTTTATATATGGAAATACACTTCTTACAAATACATTTTTCGAATCACACTTCCAC